CTAGAGGAATGTCTGAACCAAAAGGTAGGTGGTTCAAATCCACAAACTTCTCCAGGAGACAAAGATGGGGCAGTACACATGATAAAGATGAGACACCCTAGGGAGTTGCTATGAGTTGTGGGAGACTCAGTGGCACATAAACAAAACCAAATGATTGCTATGAATTGGAATCAACTCAAACGAGTATTCACTGGGCTATTAACTGGAAGAGCGGCAACTTAAGTCAACCATTTATAAAGAACTTGGATTTCCATTCATTCACTGTTGCACCTTTCCCTCCACACCCGCCCCCCCCCCACTGGTCACTTTTATTTTGGGGACAAAAAATTATTTCATTTTTATACAATCCTCTCTTGGTACAAGCCCCAGTCCACTTTACCATGCAGCTCCCATTCTGGACTCCTGTCATGCCAGTTCTCTCCCTTGTCTGTTTCAATCCTGTGTACACTATTTATCCGCTCTTTTCCTAGTTTCCCCCAGGCCCCATGTTAGTCCCGTTTTATTATAACAGTAGCATTATACAGTATTTATCCTTTTGTGACTGACATATTTAATTCAGGGTAATGTCCTCCATGGTCACCCATTTTGTATATTTCATAAGTTCTTTGTTTTTCAGTGCTGCTTAATATTCCATCATATGAATATACCAGAGCTTCTCTATCCATTCATTTGTTGATGGGCACTTGGGTTGTTTCCAACTCGATGCTATTGTGAACAAAGCAGTAATAAACATGTGCATTTATCTGCTAGGGTGGCAGTGCTGGTTTCTTTAGGGTATATTCCCAGTAGTAGAATTGTTGGGTAAAATGGTATTTCTATTTCCAACTTTTTGAGAAAGCACCATACTGCTTTCCATAGTGGTTACACAGTTTTACACCCTCACCAATGGTGAATAAGGGTTCCAGTTTCTCCAAAACCTCATCAGCATTTGTTATTTGCTGCTCTGTTAAATTTTGCTATTCTGACTGGGGTGAGATGATATTTCATAGTTGTTTTTATTAGCATCTCTCTTAGAGCTAGGGATTCTGAACATTTCTTTATGTGCTTGTTGGCCATCTAAATGTCTTCTTTGGTGAAGTATCTGTTCATATCCTATACTCATTTTTTCAATTGGGTTGTTTACCTTTATCTTGTTGTGATGTTAAGTCATACTTTTTTTCTTTTTTTTTTTTAAGGAGTAAAATCTCAAGACCTCATAATGGTGTTCAATATCATGCGTTGGGGATGGTAGTATGGGCCATTGAGTCAACTAGGACTCCTAGCAACCCTATGAACATTGGCTATGAATCTTGCCTTTTCCTGAGCCAATCTCACTGTCTCTGACACACTTGAGCCTATTACTACTGTCACTGTGACAATTCATCTCATCCAGGGTCCTCTGTGCAGATTGTCCATCCTTCCAAGCATGACGTCTTTCTGCAAGGACTGGACCGCCTCGAATAGCTTCCCAAAAGATGACGAAGTTCTCAATCTTGTTTCAAATATCTACACACACCCACCCTATGTAAATAGCAATCCCAATCCCCACTTTTTCCCCCATAGGACTTATAATCATGTACCATATATATGTGCTTTCTCTCTGTGCATTGAAAACTAAGCACCATCAGGGCAGAAAATCATATTCAATGCATGTACGGCACCTAAACAAGTGTCCAACATGCAATTTGGACTCAATAAATTGTAATGTATTTACCAAATAAATTACAAACAAAAATTAGAGAAGGTAGGGATCTCAAGAAGTAATTTATCGCCAATATGTAATGTGAATAAAAATCATGATATGGGGAGAAAAATGTTCAAAGCATGCGAGAACTAGACAGCCACTTGGATGGGGCCTTTGAGCCCCAGCAGATGTGGCCAAAAGCTTTGTACTGAGGGGATGGAAAGCAGATATGAGAGACGTTAGGAGAATGCTCTATCCCTAAGCACAGCTCAATTCCTTGGACAAATAACTACTCATTAAGTAATACGAGTTCTTAACAAATTATTATTATTAACAAATGATGCTTCTTTTTGGTCTGACTGATTTTTTAAAATAGTGTTAAAGCAAAACCTATTATATTTTAACTTTGGCATTATCAGCCTAATGTATTAAAAGGTCATTCTGTGTGGGATGTTCTACCAAGCGTATCTCATCTCTGTGACCTTCACCTAGAAGATCCTGCTGATCCATATGCCCCTCCCCCCTCCTTGTTCCCACAATAAATCTCAACAGAACATATCCTTTAAAAAAAAGTCATTCTGTCAAAAGTATTGACAACTCTTTGTCATAAAATGCCTTCTCTAGGTGACCTCCTCTGTGGACAGTGTATTAGATCAGACTTTCTGAAAAACTGACTCAGATAAGGGATCTGCAGACAGGGATCTATATATTGGGAGTGTCCTTGGAGCAGCACCACCTATTCGGGATTGGGCAGCAGGACTGAACAGAGGGAAGAGCTGAACTGCAGGGAAGATGCAGGAAGCTCCCATCAGCTCTCACAGGGAGCTTCAGAGCTAGAAAGATCCAGAGTCATGCTGAACTGAGGCAAGGGGGCTAGGCCCAAATATCCTGATCTACACATCACGCAATAACAGGCAACCAGCCGGGGACAGAGTCTCAAGCAAGACGGTTCTTTCAGCTGATGACTAACCTGGAAGAGGAGCTTGGCTGAGTGGTCAGCAGGAAACACTTCTGACAGTTGGGGAAAAGAGCGCTCTGGATGTGAAAGGGGCAATCTGAGCAGCACATTCTAGTATCCACACTGAAGACTAGGCACAAGAAAGCTGCTTTTTTGCTTATTGTTGTTTTTTTATAAATGTTACTCCTGAGAATATGATATGATAGATAACTGAGTAAATTTTTATTTAAAGTCTTATTCTGGGTGAAAACCTCAATATAATTTGTAAATTTCCACTAAAAAAAATTTAAAGAAATCACCGGTCAGTAGAAAATAAATAAAAACACGCTATTTCATGGGAGAATCTAGAAAGCATTGTGCTGAATGAACTAACTCAGTCTCCTAAGGACAAATAATGCAAAGATTGTTATTGTAAAAACAAAAGGATAACCAGTACAATGTGGATAAGAATCCAAAAGGGGAAAGGGAGGGGGGCAGAGTGTGGGTAGGAAAGGAAATCATTAGGATAACGGAGTTTGGTGGGAGGACAGTGGACGCGAAGGAATTAGGAAAGATCCAGTGGGGACCTGAACTAGACATAGGTCAATGGTGATTAATTTTCTAAAACACAATGTAAAAAAGTGATCATTTGAAACACAATATGAATATAGGAATGTGTGAAACTCAATGTACATGAATGATACACAATGTATAGGAATTCTGTATGCAAATCAATATAAAATAAAGTAGAAAGAAAAAAAGAAGAAATCTTATTTTCTTAGGGAAGTGGGGAAGTCTCATAGGGGCATAAAGGTTCTGGGATGGTATAAGCCATTTTCAACCAGCTACTTACCAAAAGACTGGTAGTTCAAATCCACCCAGGAGTGTCACAGAAAAAGGCCTAACAGATTTACAAACCCTATGGAATGGTTCTTCTTTTCACATATGGGGTTGCCATTAGTCACAATCAATTCAACGGCAAATAAAAACAAAAAACTTGGGGCCAAGTAAAATAATTTGTACTTACTAATTGACTAATTCTTTACTGTCAGATTTGCCTATTCACAAACACCAGATGTGCAACTACCACCCACATATGGCACGAGAAGTCTACACTGTTCGGATCTGATGGGACATAATTATAACTGAGTGTTTACTGACAGCATTAAGTCCAAAAGAAACTTTCCTAAGTGGAAGCAAAAGCTGATGACAGAAGCTCCAGTCAGAGGATAGATGGTTAACTCCTTCCTCTCATAACACTGTAGCCTTCAAAAGCTGGCTTTATGTATTAGAACTCTCATTTAATGTCAAATACTGTTATATAAAATCTTAACATAATAGAAGTTGAACTTTCTTTTATGATAAGTCAATGTTTGGGCGTTACAGATTTAGACTGAGTGTCAAGCCCCCCAAGTCTGAAGACCCAGATACTCCGAGATGTCACTCACACAATCTCTGTTCCCCGCCTAACTTTACCACAGCGCTCATTCTCGACAGCTTCAGATGCTGATTCCTCAGGCTCATTTCCTTTTCCCCTGAGTTCTAGTTTGAGCTTACCAAGTTTTCTCCATTTGTATCACACATCTGTACCTAACATTCCCATCAGGTCATAGTTCCCAAAGGCAGGGACTAGGTATTCTATCTTTTATGTCTTATAAAAATTCCTTAAAAAAAAAAGCTGCTGTGATTAAGTTGATCTCAACCCAGAGTAACTCAGATGTTTCAGAGTAGAACTATATCTCACAGGGCTTTTAATGACTGAGATCCTTTAGATCACAAAGTCTTCTTCCAAGGTCTCTCTGGTTAGATTCAAACTCCAAACAGTAACTCCTTAAAAATTCCTTAGTAGGGATTTCTGGTGGCCTAGCGGTAGGAAGTTTCACCACCAACCCAAAGGGGCTCATTCCAACCCACAGTTGCTCTGTGGGAGAAAGAGGGGCAATCTACTCCTGTGCAATTTACAGCCACTAAAACCCTGACGGAGCGTCAGTTTTGAGTCAGTTCTGACTCAAGGGCAATAAGTTGAGTTTGTTTTGTTATCATCAAGTGTCATCAAGTTGCCTGTAACTCATAGCGATCCTCTATCCTGAGCCAGTCTCACTGTCTCCAACACACCTACCCCATTACCCCAGCACTTAATAAAAGCTTATTAGTCCTGGAATGATCAATAATTAACAACTGAATAACCACAGAAGTATTTTAATGCTTTTATCACTTACAAATTGATAAAAAAAAATAAACAACTAAATCTTGGCTATTATATTAAAACTATGATATACTTTGCAAGAAAATACATTACTCTAACATAGATACTTGTATTAATTTCCAAAAATTATGCTTAATCTATACTAATTTAATTTCCCTGGCTGGTTCCCAAGGGAATGGTATAATCTTCTTCAATCAAACAGCATCAGCTTGATTAGTTATATTCTGAAAAAAGAATGAGACATTTTCTCTAATTCTATCAAGAAAAGGATCTGGAATGTTCGCATGATCTGCAGAAAAATGTTTCCATTGCTTCAGCTGAGACATGGAGAGAGGTTTCAGGGAATTAGAACTCTGGTGATGTGCGCCAAGCTGACAATTTCTAGGCATAGAAGATTTTCCCGATGAATCATCTAAAACTTAAAAAAAAAAATTAAAACAATGAGGAAGAAAATCCTTAGACCAATAAATATCCTACTATATATTTCTTTATAATATCTAATGATTTATATATTTTTTTTAAATTTTACTTCCAAAGGTCAAGTTGAAACAATTACCTCATTTACTCTTTCCCTACATACTTCTAAGTGATCTGGTTTAAGCACTAAGGGTAGAAATGAGGAAAGAAAATGGGAAATGTCTTTATATTTAAAAAAAAACCCCACAGTCTAGTAGAAGAGACATGTTATTAAACAAATAATCACCCAAAGAAATGTGGTGGTGGTGGTTTTGCTGTTAGGTGCCACTGAGTTGAGTAAGACTCAGAAGAGACGCTAAGAACAACATATCTGAATCCTGTCCTATCCCGTGACATCGTCACAATCTTTGACACACTCAAACCTACTGCAGAAGTCACTGTGTCAATCCACCTGGTTGAGGATCCTCCTCTCTTTTGCCATCCCTCTACCTTCCCAAGCATGATGTCCCTCTCCAAGGATAACCTCTCCTATCAATATGCCCAAAATATATGAGATAAAGCTTCATCATCTTTGTTTCCAAGGAGCACTCTGGCTGCACCTTCTAAAGGCGTATCTGTTTGTTCTTTTGGCAGTCCACGGGATATTCAGAACTCTTCTCCAACACCGCAGTCCAAAGGCATCAATTCTTCCTGAGTCACCCTTATTCACTGTCCATCTAACTCAGAAGCACAGCACTTGCTGAAAAGACCATGGCCTGAATCAGATGCACCTTAATCCTCAAACTGACATCATTGTTTCTCAATAATTTGGAGGTCCCTTGACTACAGACTCACCCAGTGCATTATGTCTCCTGCTCTCCTGGGTGCTGGTACTAACTGTATTGATTGTGGGCTCAAGTAAGATAAGCTGTTGACAGAATCAGTCTTTTCTCCATCTATCATGATGTTGCCTACTAGTCCAGTCGCAAAGATTTTTGTTTTCTTAACATTGAGATGCAATTCATATTGATGGCTGCAGCACTTTAACTTTCTGCAGCAAGTGCCTCAAATCCTCCTGTCAGCAAGCAAGATTTTGTCATCCACATAACAAAGGCTACCGATGAGTCTTCCTCCAATCCTGATGTCACGGTGTTTTTTATAAGAGCCCAGTTGCTTGAATAATTTGCTCCACATATAGATTAAATATACATGGATAAAGGAAATAACCCTGACACATACTTTTCCTACAGGCCCATAATTCCTTAACCAAAACCTTTGAGATCATGTATGTTCTCAAATTCTGAATAACTAATGGCCCCAGTAGGGTCTAGGAAAACATTTCTAATTAAATTCACTTAAAGTTCCACAAGTAATGTTGTTGTTGTTGTTGTTGTTAGGTGCTGTCATGCTGAGTACTACTCGTAACAACCCTATGAACAAAAGATCTGAACTCTGCTCTATCCTGTACCATCCTCACAATTCCTGACACACAAGAGCCCACTGCAGCAGTCACCGTGTTAGTCCACCTGGCTGAGAGTCTTCCTCTCCTTTGTTGACCCTCCACCCTTCCCAGCACCATGTCCCTCTCCAAGAAATAGCCCCTCCTAGCAACAAAGCCCAAAGTATGTGAGGCAAAGCCTCATCATTCTTGCTTCCAAAGAGCACTCCAGCTGCACCCTCTCCAAGACATATCTGCTTGTTCTCTTGGCCATCCATGGGATGTTCAGTGTGCTCTTCTCCAACACCACAGCTCAAAGGCATCAATTCTTCTATCATCTTGTTCATTGTCCAAGCTCTCACTAAATAATCTCATCAGATTAGAACATTTTCTATACCAAATAAACGTAATGTAAATTTCTAAAAAAATAAACATCTTGTTAGTAATAAAAAGTCTTCACAGTTTCTGGATCTCAGAACTAAAGATAAGGGACTAGGGAACTGTAGTCTAAACAGAAATCAGCATGTAAAAAAACAACAACAATGGGGATTAAACACATATATAGTGGGTAAATGGAGGGACTTGGACTTGAAGAATGAATAAGGTTCTATTAAGACCCAAAGGACAGGGCAAGAACTAGGTGGGAAAAGGAAATAAAGCATTCCCAGGAAAACACTGGTACAGTCAGGGAACTGACTGATACCTAATGCTAGGAACTAGAGAGTAAAGGCAGAGAACAATGCAAAAGGAGAAAGCGGGTAATACAAGGTGAAGCAAATAGTCGAAGGCCACACTGTGTAAAACACCAAAATGTCTATGTGAGAAACACTGATTTAGGAAAATGTTGTGTTGTTATGTCCTATGCAGTTGTCAACTACAACTCCTAGCAACTATGAACAACAGATCACAAACATACCCTATCCTGTACCATCCTGACAATCTCCCACGTACTCACAATCATAAATGTTGTGTTACATATTGTTGTTCTTACTCATTGTCCAACTGTCAGATACACAGAAAGAAAATGAAAAGAGCTTGGAAAATATGACTTAGTCATTAAGCTGATCTTTGTTCTTCAGCATCTTGGAGGGGTCCTTGGCAGCATATTTCTCCAATGCAACACGTCTTTATATTTTTTTTTATTTCAAATGAGTTGGTTTAATTCCAGATGGTACAGAATTCTGGGCATAATGAAGAATGAAGACTCTGACAGGATTCTGGATTCCATTTACTTTGACTGCACAACTAAGATCAGAATGGCTGAATGAGAACTGGAGATGGACCATCATAAGGTTTCTTCTTCACTGTTTCACAAAGTTTCCTCTTAAATGTACAACAGGCTCCAAGACAACACTTCATTTTAACTATAGGTGGTAAAAGATGTTACCGCAGAGAATCCAGATGTTTTAAAAAAGAATGGAATTAAGGTTCATCATTGCCTCAGTCTTATTTTTTGCCAGATTTCTTAATTCCACCTGTGGCCAGGGGACCTTTGCCCGCGGCCTTCGCTTTTAGTTCCTCGAGTTTCTTCTGTTCTTCTTTTTGTTTCTGCTTGAAAACCTTATCTTCCTCGTCCATCTCCTTGGTCTGCTTCTTGGGCTGTTTCAGGGGCTTCTTCTTACCACCTTCGCGGCCAGACCTGGCGCTGGCCGCCCCTTCCCCAGACCTTATATATATATATATTTTTTTTAATTGTGTAATTTTTTTTATTAATTTAGTTTGTTTATTTTTCATTTCAATGAACATCTACAGAGATTTTGGAATTCCATTCATTCATTGTTGCACCCTTCTCCCCGCACAAACCCCTCCCCCCCTTTGCTCCTCTCCTTGAAAAGCAAACGAAAAACTCCCTCATTGGTACACAATCCCCCCGCACCTCCCCAAGCCCCACCCCCTACCCCCAAATATAATCCACTCTGCAACCCTCATTGCATACTCCTACGATAAAAATAATGCCCTAAAATATAATACTTTTAGACTTTTTACTGCTGCTGTGAAGTGTATTAACTATGGACCCAAATAAAATGAAACTGCTGACAGCTTCAATCTTTTCTCCATTTTTTATGATGCTGCATGTTGGCCTAATGGCTTTTTGTTTTCTTGATGGTCAACAGTAATCTATATTGAAGTTTGTAATAATCATTGATCTTCTGCAGCAAGCATGATTGGCTCTTGATTATATGCTAATTCTTGAAGTGACTCAGTGACAACCAATTCTTCTGGCACAGTGAGTGCATATTCCTCCCATCTACTTCTGAGGCTGTTGCTTCATTCATGATTCCATTTTCCTGCATCATTCAGTAATTTTGCCCATCAAATCCTTCAATATTGAAAGCCAAGGTTTAAATTTATTCAATTCTATCAGCTTGAGAAATATCGAGAATATTCTTCCCTTTTGGTTTTTTTTTTTGCATATTTTATTACAATATTTTGTTTCTCGAGCTGTTCAGCTCTCTTTCTTCATCATGTTGTTGTTGTGTACCATAAAGTCAGAACTGACCCATAGCTGACCCCCTGGAGGGTTTTCAGAAGCAGTTAATCATGCAGAAGGAGACTGCCTGTCCTTCTCCTGCAAAGCAGCTGGTGGACCTGAACCCACGTGCCTTCGGGACTGCAGTGCAGCTTCTTGCCACTAGGCTACCAAAGCATACCTTCATTTTATTTTGGTTTCTTTGCATTCCAGTACATGTTTCAGAGTTTGACAATCATTTTCATCTTTTCTGTCTTCCCTGTCTTGTAATGAATGACATTTTGCTTTCTTCATGGTCATCAGACCTTAGAATGCAATGTGTCAAATCTGTTCTTGAGGCAGGCTTTTAAATTCAAGTGAGATGGTCTTAAAGTTGAATTTTGGTTTTCGTGCACGTTTTATTTTCTTCACCTTGCATTTGAACTTGCATTAGTCTGCACCACAGTCAGCCCTGGTCTTGTTTTGACTGCTGATAAGTAGCTTCTCTAGAATCTCTTCCCACAAATGCAGTCAATCTCATTCTTGTGTAGTCAGGTGAGATCCAGGTGTACAGTCACCCTCTATGTTTGGGTGTTTTGTTTTGTTTTTTAAAAAAAGGTATTTGTAATGAATAAATTATTGATTGTACAAAATTCCCTTATTTGATCTCCAAACTCATTTCTGTCATCATGGCCATGTTTTTCAACTACAATTCCTTCTTTTTTCCCCCAGCTTTTGCTTTCCAGTAACCAATTATTATTAATGCATCTTCAATCAGTTTTTGCATGCAATGACTGCATGTGTGATTCATTTCAGAGCACAAAAGTTGGGAGAAATCCTCAATTTCTTCATCTTTGGTTTAAATGGTTGGTACATATATTTGAGTAAAAGTTGTATTCACAGGTTTTTATTATACATGCATGAATAGTATTCTATTGCTCAAAAGTATCGGACAGACCTTGACAATAAATATGCCACCATTCCTCTTCAATCTGTCATCCCCGGCATAGTAGATCCTGTGACTGACTCAAAATGGCCAATACCAGTGCCTCTCAGCTCACTAATGCCTAAGATCTTCATCTTAAGTGTTCTACTTCATTTTTAACAACTTCCAATTTTCTTAGACTCA